CATCACTAATGAGAACTCTCATAAGCAGGGGTGTATGACATCTCAACAACCTCTACTCGTGCGGTCCTCAAACCTCATAACCAACGAACTTGAACGCTTTATGAGTCAACTTTAAAAGAAAGTCATAACCCACCAGACTGGCCTTAAACACTTTATGAGTTGACTCAAAACGCGACTCATAACCCATCAGACTGACCTTGAACGCGTTTGGGAATGCCTTTCTCAACTTCGCCTTCATTTCCCTGCATGCACCGCACAGCAGAGCAGAGCAGAGCACAGAAAAGCACAGCACCACAGAGGGCAGCACACCACACACATACACTCAGGCACACATTCAGATCACACTGGTGTCGCAGGCAGTCAAATTCGAGCCCATGTCGCCAGTCAGTGTGCCATGCGCGCAGTGCAGTGATGCAGTGTGGCCACGCATAATGGGGGCCTCGGACGCAGGGCGAGTCCCGAGACGTCTCAAAAATCAGTGTAGATACGCAGCGCAAAACACGGCTCTCCCAACCCTGACGTCTCAAGTCTGGAGTGGCGGCTTCAGACGCAGGCGCCTTACTCCAGCCCCCACCATCCCCACTTCTTTCGCTTCTTCCGTCTCTCCCAACCCTATGTTACCAGATTCTGAGTCAGACTCAAAACACGCCTCTCCCACCCCTGATGATACCAGATTTTTTGAAACGAGCACATTCAGGGCAGCAGTGTGGGCGCGCATGGCGGGAGTTTCAGTCATCTAGCGCCTTATCCCAACTCCCACCCTCCCCTCTTGTTTCGTTTCTTCCCCACACATTCCCTCCTCCCCCTTAGATTCTCCCACCTCTGCCCCACCTGATTTTCCTGAATGTGCGCATGAGATCTGCCTGCAGTGCATGCAACGATGCGGTGTGCGCGCACATGGCAGGGGCTTCAGACGCGAGGGCGAGAACCCCTCGTTCCTTCCAGCCCCACCACCCCCCCTACCCCCCCTTCCCCCTTCACACCTGATTATTCTGAATGAGCGCATGAGATCTGCCTGCAGTGCATGCAACGATGCGGTGTGGGCGCGCATGGCAGGGACTTCAGATGCCAGCGCCTTGAGCGAGAAGGCGTTGAAATGCGCCAGGATGGCCGCTGTATCCTTCCAGTCCAGCCCCACCATCCCCCCTTACCCCACTTCCCTCTTCACACCTGATTTTTCTGAATGAGCGCATGAGATCACTCTGTAAAGCATGTAGGGCGGCAGTGTGCGAGCGCATGGCAGGGGCTTCAGATGCCAGCGCCTTGAGCGAAAATGCGTTGAAATGCGCCAGGATGGCCGCCGTGTCCTGTAGCGCGCCCAGGCTGATACATGGGGAGGGGGGAGGTGGGAGGAGGGAGGGTAGAGAGGGGAGAACACGGAACGCAAGTTAGAGCCTTTAGTGAGAACGCATTGAGATGCGCCGATATGCCTGCCGTGTCCTGTAGTGCGCCGATATGCCTGCCGTGTCCTATAGTGCGCCGATATGCCTGCCGTGTCCTGTAGTGCGCCGATATGCCTGCCGTGTCCTGTAGTGCGCCGATATGCCTGCCGTGTCCTGTAGTGCGCCGATATGCCTGCCGTGTCCTGTAGTGCGCCGATATGCCTGCCGTGTCCTGTAGCGCGCCGATATGCCTGCCGTGTCCTGTAGTGCGCCGATATGCCTGCCGTGTCCTGTAGCGCGCCGATATGCCTGCCGTGTCCTGTAGTGCGCCGATATGCCTGCCGTGTCCTGTAGCGCGCCGATATGCCTGCCGTGTCCTGCAGTGCGCCGAGACTGATAGGCGTGGTGGGGGAGACAGAGAGGGACAAGGGAGGATTGCGGGGAATGCGCATAGCTGAGGGTAACAAGGGCGTGCGCCCTCACCTTGACCCTTGCGCCTCCCACACTGCGCCCATGTCCGCCGCATCAACCAGCGCGCGGATCCGCTCCGCCAATCCTTCCGCCAACCCTTCCCCCAATCTCTCCCTCGAACACTCCGCCACTGCGCCTCGTCCGCTAGTAGCCCCCGCTGCAGCCACTTCCCCGTCCGCCACTCTCCGCTCTGCCCCGCTTGCGCTCTCCGCCTGTCCGCCCTCCGCCTCCCCCTCCCCCACGCACCCCTCAGCACCGCTCTCAACCGTCGTGGTATGACATTCTCGAATCGCCTGAGCTGCCGTCACGGTCGTGTCGCCACGGCTTGCACTATCCGCCGCACCTGCCGCTCTATCGTCCCCTGACGCGCCCCCGACACACCCCTCAGCACCGCTCTGAACCGCAACTTGATACTCTTGAGACATCCGGTCATGTGCTGCTGCTGTCACGGCCGCGCCGGCTGTCATCAGCACGTCTCCAGTATGAGAGGCTTTTGTGCTATCATCCACGTCACCTCTCTCGCCCACCCGCGTGTTACTCCCCGCTCTATCGTCCGCCCCGCCTCCCACTATATCGTCCGCCATGCCTCCCGCTCTATCGTCCGCAGCGCCTCCCGCTCTATGGTCCAACCTCGTATCACGTATCATCAGAAACAATTGTACAACGGCCGGAATTCAAAGCCCCGCCGGGAAAAGCGGGATGTGACTGACGACAGTGTGAGATTGTTACCCGTGTATAGAGTCGTGCTTCGGTATCATGAACACCAGCCGATTTCCTCTGTGATGATGGATTTACAAGTTCGAGTTCTCTGAACAGAAGAAACATCACCTCAAGAATCAACCCGTGTGATGCTTAGTCTTCCGGGAGTGTATATCAGCAACAAGCAATGGCTAGGAGGCTACTGATCCAGTAACAATATTAGTATGGCCCTTGAGCATGTCAATTACTGTAACATCTCCATTCTCTAATGCCGGCACATACTGAAGTAGATGTGGCACCTACCAGTACTCTACAATGCTATTTTACAGCGAGTTAATTACCTGCCACCACTAGTTTCCAAATCCTCATGCCATACCTAGTAACCTGCCGATATGCCCTAATGCTGTACGATTGTGTCATCCATATGCATGTTCTTCACCTCCACACAAGCTTGCCCTGCCCACTTGCTTACAGATGCTAAGATTATAGCGAGAGCAAGGCTCAGCCAGAGCTGAATCTCACTTCTCCAAAGCTTCATTTTATAAAAGCTTCACTTTAAAAAAAAAACCTAACACCTTGAGAGCTTCACTTCTTGAGACTTGCATACATGGCATCAATTTGCGCCTGATGGGGGGGAGAGACGGGATAAGGGAGAAGCAAGGTGGGCAGGCGAATGCACGTGTGGTATGAAATGGCAAATAAGGTGGGCGTTAATTTGTGCCCAATAACAGGCAGAAGCAAGCGGAGGGGAGAAAGAGAAAAAACAGGAAAACCGCCTGGATGCTTTTGACCACTTTTGAGGCGCCTCAAAAACCGCCTGGATGCTTTTGCTTGCAAAAGTTGAAGGCCTTAGTATTACATCAGCCGGGGGGCAAAGGCAAGGGGTTTCGGGTATCAGTGCGGACAAATGACAAGCTCCCGGCTTGAGCCAGCCTTTTTGAAAGATAGCAGAAGCTGGGTGGTTACAAACGAGTACACCCAACGACTTCAACCAGTGCAGGCTCCTTCGCGTGAAGTTTATTTGACTTGCAGTGCCAACTCCGCCTGTGCACATCTGTTTTTAAGGAGCTTAAAAAAAGGCAAACCAAGAGCATTGTTTGAGGCGTCTCAAACCGGCGGTCCAATATGTTCTTTTCGAGGCGACTTTGAACAAGATATTCAAAAACTTTTCTTCAGAGGCTAAAAACGTGTAGCCAAGTGTGCATCCCAACAGTGCATTATTTCCACAAAACATGGTGCAATGAGTACAAATGAATTACAAATCCACACAAAGGGCATGATCAAACGGCATCGGAACTTGCGCACATCCTCCTAAGATGGAAAAATCAAATTGCGCATCGTTAATCATCTGTGCACAATCGCAGGCTGCTGCCAACACAAACGTGAAACCAGCAACCCAAAATTGTGCATGGTTGATGAGTGCATGCGCAATTGGAAATTCCTGTCCTAGGAGGATGTGTCCAAACCCTTATGCCATTCCGATATTCACATTTGAGAGAATTACTTACTCTTGAGGCACTTCGAACAGGGACCCAAAAACCCAATTTAGGGCGTACCTTTGGCTCGGGTCATGGCACTGTTCATCCTACTGTTTGGGTCATGCGGAAATCGCTCACGACCCAAAGTGGCCTTCTGAAGCGCGGATAAGGTGGCGTTTTGTGCTGTTTGGGTCATGCGGAAAACACGCATGACCGAAAGTGGCCTTTTGACCCAAACCAAAGATATGCCCTTACTTTACCATAAAAACATTGTGCCAAACGTGCCTCCCAACCCAAGAGAGCAAATCCTTGCTAAAAACGAGAACAGGCCTTATGATGCTATAAGGATTTTTTTGAGAAATCTAAAACAAAAACTCACAACAAGAACAGGCCTTATGATGCTATAACCAGCCTGGTGGTGATTGAGCAGTTGCAGGCGCTTCTTCTTGAACGTGGGCGCCAGCAAACTCTTCCAAGTCGAACGGCTTGACAACACAACACACCCACCGCAACACTAAACAAGTCTGCCTGCACGTAAATACCAGAGTCTAGTCACCCACCTGAGCCCTGAACCCACCTGGTAGTACTTGAGCAGCTGAGGACGCTTCTTCTTGAACGTGGGCGTGAGCAGGTCCCTCTCCATGTCAAAGGGCTGTGACTCCAAATGCACCGCCTTCACCATCTCAAAGCCCTTCAGCTGGTGCACATGGGGGCATAGGACATACCGGGAAACATGGCAGCAGTAAAGAAGGGAGGGGAGGGGGTGGTAGGGGGGAAAGTCAGCAGATCCCTCTCCATGTGGAACGGCTGTGACTCCAAATGCACCGCCTTCACCATCTCAAAGCCCATCAGCTGGAGGGGGGCACAGATCACAGGAGAACCAATATAAGCCCATCAGCTGGAGGGGGGCACAGATCACAGGAGAACAAAAAAAAGACAAGGGAAAAAGGGGAGGGGGGGGGAAGGCAGCTTTCCACATGGACGCTTTCAAAATCTAAGAAAGCCTCAAACCTCTCCTCTGGCTGTACTCTCTCTGACCTCAGAAAGCCTCTAGTATAGACACGACCTCAAACCACTCCTCCCTTGTCATCCCACCCCCCTCGCTTTCAGCATCTTACCTTGCCCTTCTTGCCCGTGTCGGTCAGCTGCCCGAGAATAAATTTCTTTGCCTCCTCAGTGCCGCAGAGGGCAGCATAATCCCCCTCCATGCCCGCCCCCTTGGCCCACTCGAGCGCGAGAAGGGGAGTCACCACCTACAGGTAATATAAATGCCCGCCTCTCCTCTCCTAATACCACAACTGCTTTCTATCTCTTTCCCCCCTTCCACCCCTCTCACCTTGCCCTTCTTTCCTGTCTCAGTCAGCTGCCCGAGAATAAATTTCTTTGCCTCCTCAGTGGCGCACAGGGCAGCATAATCCCCCTCCACACCTGCCCCCTTGGCCCACTCTAGCAGCGTCGGCTTGTTTGGTACCACCACCGCCACCAGCACTGCCTCAAAGCTGTTGCCATACACCCACACCTGGTGTGAGGGAAGGGAGGGATGGAAGAGAGAGCAGAGAGAGCAGAAGGGGTGAGACAGGGCGGCAACATATTCCCCTTGCGCCAACTTGAATATATTCTTCTTCCGATTGATGATCTTCATCGACCCATCCGCCTGCCACTCGCCAATGTCTCCCGAGTGGAACCACCCCTCCGCATCCACAGCCTCCTTGGTCAAATCCTCCCTCCCTCTCCCCACCACTCACCATCACCACCACTCCCCATCACTCCCCACCACTCACCATGTCAATAGCAGTGCAGTTGCCAAAGACGTTCTCGAGATTCTCCACAGCCACGTACTCCCCTTGAGCCAGCTTAAAAATGTTCTTTTTCCGATCGATGATCTTCATCGACCCATCTGCCTGCCACTCGCCAATGTCGCCCGTGTGGAACCACCCCTCCGCATCCACTGCCTCTTTGGTCAGATCCTCGCGCTTGTAATACCCCGAGAAGAGAATCGGCCCGCGAATGCACACCTCCCCCCTCGGGGGATGCACCGCCTCCCCTGATTCTCCTTCCAGTTTGGCACCAATAGCATCGTAGTTCATCTCGGGGATGGATTCGAGGCGGGTTTCGAGCGTGGGCATGGGCGGGCCAACGGTGCCGGCCTGCTCGATGCGATCCGCGTACGAGATGAAGCCACTCGTGTTGGTTTCGGTGAGACCTGTTAGGAAACGGAGGGAGGGAATTAGAGGGCATTGGATGAGATGAGAGGAGAAGGGTCTAGAGGGTGGGCATGGGCGGGCCGACCGTGCCGGTCTGCTCGATGTGATCCACGTATGAGATGAAGCCGCTCGTGTTGGTCTCGGTGAGACCTGAGGGTGTTGAGAAGGAGTGAGGACGGGGGGTTGCTATGAGCATGTGGTTGAGGCGACCGGGCATGGGCGGGCACGAGCTTGGGCATGGGCGGGCACGAGCTTGGGCATGGGCGGGCTGATGGTGCCGGGCTGCTCAATGCGATCAGCGTACGAGATGAAGCCGCTCGTGTTGGTCTCCGTGAGACCTGGAGGATTGGCCAGGGGAAGCCGGGAAGGATTTGTGGAACGGAGAGGGAGGGGGGAGGGGGTGAGATGGAGGTTTCGAGCGTGGGCATGGGCGGCCCAGCAGTGCCGGCCTGCTCGATACAATCCACGCACAAGATGAAGCCGCTCGTGTTGGTCTCCATGAGGCCTGGGGGAAGGGGAGGGAGGGTGTGTGGGGGAGGGGTGGGGAGAAGGAAATTGCACGTGGCAGCACATGGCAATCTTTCAAGCACACCTCCATCCATGTGAGGCGCGGGACAGACAAGGAGGAGAAGGGCAACACCAACCAGACAGTAACCGGGCAGCACCGCATCCCACCACTCTAGTCACTCCATCCAACCCAAACCCCCTTTTTTTCGCATAGGATCACACTCACCATACCCCTGCACCACGGGGCAGACTCACCGCACCCCTCTCAATCGCACTGTACCGCTCTCAAACTCACCATACCCCTGCACCACGGGGCAGCACATGGCAATCTTCAAAAACTCCTCCACGTGAGGGGCGAGAGGGGCAGCACCGGAGCAGATAATCCGCACGTTGCCACCCAGCCGCGCCTTGATCTGTGGCAGGAGTGAGGTGGAGGAAAGACGTGGGGTGGGGGATTGAATATGGGCATGGTGTGTTGGATCTTCACCCCTGCTGCTCTGCTGCCAGCTGTGTGCGTTCAAGGCACCTCTAGAGACTCACACGCTCACCTCTCCTCACCCACCCACAGCCACACAAACTCACCCTGTTAAATACAAACAAGTCAAGAATGGGCCTGGCGTGTCGGATCTTCACCCCTGCCGCTGCCACCGGTGCGTGTTCATTGATCAAGGCACCTCTTCCGAACGCACACGCAGACCTCTCCTCTCGCACCCACCCACAGCCACCCACTCACCTTGCTGAAGACGAGGAAGTAAAAAA